GTTATTTCTACCATATCCTCATGCAACTCTCTGATTTGGTCTGTAAAGAAGACAGATGGAGAATGACATCTTAGGAAAGCTTAATTAGGAGGTGGTTCCTATTGCATTGGTCTTACCATGTTCCCTACTATCCTGAAATACAACTAGTTTTATTGAAGTGGTCTTTTGAAAACTCAGTTATAACAGCAGTTGGGTGGGAATGCCTTGTGGGGTAGGGCAAATTTCTTAGTATATACTTTGAATCAGTGTCCAATATATGGAATTGTTTTTTTCATGGCAGGGTTCAAGTGATGAAAATGGGAGTAGTACCACTCGTTATTAGTAGGGACCTTTTAGAAAAAATTCTGCTTCTTGTTCCTGCAAGCTTATACTCTCTTGACCTAAAGAACATAGTTTTAAAGGGAGGACTGCTTACCATATGACCAAGCCCCTTATGAACCCATCCTGTTTCATATCATCTGTCTCACCATCTATTTCCCTTTTTTTTTCCCTCAAGTACCCCTGTGTGATCAGCACATGTACTGATGCCTGATCTATGTCAGATATGTGAGGTATCTGGATTCTACAGAAAAGCAAGATATGAAACCAAGGGGTCTACAATTAGGATGCTGGGCTCAGTAAAACTGAACAGGTTTGAGCTGGTTTGGATGCCACCTTGACCTGAGTTTGCCCTCCAAGCTTCATTTTAATGCATTTCCATAGTAACTCTCCCACCTGTTAGTGGCATGACTGTTTACTAGTTCAGCAATCCCAAGAACTGGCAAAATGTCGTCAGTTATGTGGAGGAGGGGTGTGGGGAGGCAAAAGTGGTCTTTCCTGTCCCCTGGTCCCTTCCCACCTTCCAAATCTATATAATTTCATTCTTTTTCTTGCTTGGATTGAGTTGGAAAATTCTGTGGCAGAAAAGACTCCTGTTCCCCTGCTTGACTGGCCATTGAACAAAGACTTGCATTCTGTTTAATTGTTCTCCAGTGTCATTACTGGCTCTGCTCTGGGGAAAAAGAACCCAAGAGTTGGAGAAATCATGAGTGACACCCAGAAGCACAAAGATAATTCTACTGAATTGGAAGTTAAGAGAGCCACCTGTCCACTTTGGGCTCCTCATAGCCTTGAATCAACAGGCAAAAGAGGAAGTTACTTTGGGGTGACAGATCCTGACAACCAAGGGAGAATTGGACTATTCTTCCACAATGGAGGGAACTAAGAGTGTCTGGAATAGAGTAGATACCTTAGGGCTTCTCCTAATATTCATGTCCTATGACTAAGGTCAATGGGAAACTACCATAACTTGACTCAGGCAGGACTACTAATGACCCAGATAGATACATTAGGAATGAAGGTTTGAGTCACCCCACCAGAAAATGAACCACAACTAGCTGAGATGTTTCCCAAAGACAAACAAATACAGAATGTGTAGTGAACAACAGTCGTCATAAATACCAGTTATGGACACATGGCCAGTAACAGAAATGAGGACTGTAATTGTAATTGTCCTGAATATTTCCTCCTTACTTTGTTATGACTATGTGGGTGTATGTGTATATAATCTTTGGTTTTTTCCCCTCTCTTATTTCCTTATCATGTAGCATAAGCTGTGCTGACTCTATATCAGTATTTAAGTATTGTTAACTTTCCATCAAAGCATTTAAGTTCTATAATTACAGGGAGAAGAGTAAACATTCAAGGAACTGAACTGCTAGAGAAGCAGTTAGTGTCTTTTTAGTTGTATGTAAGATATTGTATCATGTAAGGTAGAATTTTGACTTTGTTATGTTTGAGTTTCAGTTTGGTTTAAGGAGATGCATATGAGTGCCAGGTTGGCATAGAATGGACTTGTGGTGGCTAATTTTATGGGACAATTTGACTGGACTGTGGGGTTCCCAGGCATCTGATAAAAAAATTATTCTGGGTGTTTTTTGTGAGGATTTTTTTTGCAGGGGGGGGCGCGGGTACCAGCGATTGAACTCAGGGGCACTCAACTACTGAGTCACATCCTCAGCCCTATTTTGTATTTTATTTAGAGACAGGATTTCATTAAGTTGCTTAGCACCTTGCTTTTACTGAAACTGGCTTTGAACTCTTGATCCTCCTGCCTCAGGCTCCTGAGCCACTGGGATTAGAGCCACTGCGACTTGGCACCTGGCATAAGGATTTTTTTGTATGAGGTTAATATTTGAATCACTAACTGAGCAAAGCTGGTAGCCTTCAATACCTTCAATAAAGTTGTCAATCTTCATCCAACCCAAATGAAGACCCAAATAGAACAAAAAGGCTGATCCTCTTTTAAGTAAGGGAGTTCTTCTTGCCAGATAGCCTCTAAATTGGAACATTGGCTTTTATTTTTTTCTGCCTACAAACTGAAACTGAAATATTGACTCTTTTGGGGTCTCAAATATACAATCTTCAGAGTGGAACTTCCTGTGTCTCCACCTTGCCAACTCACTCTGCCAATCTTGACATGTGCAAATCTATAACCGTGTGAGCCAATTACTTTATGCACATAAACTATTGGTTCTGTTTCTCCAGACAACTCTGGGTATGACAGTAAGACATTGAATGGATACTTTACTCATCTCCTACTGTGATGAAAAATATCCAATTTGCCAAGAAGATCCCTGAAATACTTTTATTTAATAATCAAGATAAATGTTTTATAAGATATTTAAAGAAAAGAAAAAAGAACAACGATCAGAAGGAAGCACAATTTCCATATATTAGAATAAATAGTTACATTAATTTATAATAAAAAGTAAGAAAAATATGGGGCAGATGTAGTAGTGAGGATATAACGATTTGGATGTGGATATATTCTCTCCTAGTTTCAGTTTTTATATGTGCTGTCTTTATAATGGATTAGAGATATATTATGTTGCTTTTCAGGATATAAACCAGTATGTTAGCATGTAATGACAAAAGTTTTTTTTCCCCTTTAGGATTGAAAGTGACCTAATATAACCTCTATTTGTCCCTCTTTCACTATATCAATATGTAATATATATTATTGCATTTTAGTTTCACACATTTCAGTACAACTTACATATTCTTGCAGTACATGTAAGGTTAAAATAACAAAGATAAAACTTTATAGAGAACACCTTTTAGTTTTTGGGAAAAGGCATCTTAAATTAATCTTGGGTGGACTTGCCCTAGTGCAATAATTATAATTAATAAATATCTATTTCTTTTTCAGTGTTCAGACAGAATTCATGGCATGTGATTAAGTGGCATGAGGTAAGAATGTGTTTAACTTGAAACTTAGCAATAAAGTACTACCTTGTATTTAAAATCACAAGATCTTGAATTTAAAATTCACAGATCTTTATCTGTGAAGCACATCTTCAAGAACTATATTATCCCCACTTTATAGGTGAGAAAATAGATGACCATAGAGAATAAGTATCTCGCTCAGGTCTCACAGCTAATAAGTGGAGAAAATGGAACTTGAACTCAATTCTGTCTAGTTGGAAGTCAAACGCTTTCTAATGTATCTTGGCATTATCTGTGTCATTGCATGGAATATTTAAAGCTAATACTTTAATAATAAATTATGGCAGACACAGACATTCGAATCATAGCCAGATCCAAGTTAAAGGCATACTAACTGTTTTGAAGGCCAGATATTGATTTTGTCCTCATTGGTAATTTGTTGATGACCCATGTAAAAGTCTTTGGATAGCTAACTTTAAGAATGTTTTAGTTTTTAAAGTCTCTTCAATATTTCTTTCCTTGAGTGAGATAAAACAGGTAACCCAATAATGACTGGATTTCGTTCCTCTCATTGGGACTCAGAGAAGTAAGCCACTGCGAGATCACCCTCCATTTCTAGGGACAGTCTTAGCAGAGCTGGATAGTGAATGGCACGAACAGGAAGCTAAGGGAGAGGAACAGAAGTGAGGCTGCAGGGTGGGCTTCCTGCTGAGCCAAAGGTGACTTCCAGGGTCTGGCTGTGGTTGTCCACTAAAGAATCATTTTCTGGAAGCTGGTTTCCTAGAGCACTAGTGTTAAGGAAAAGAGGAGGCTGGGCCGAACAGAAAAGGGTTGGGTCATTGGGGACTTGGAAGGGATGAATGCAGTTCTTGTGAGATCCTGGTTATTTCATGTGAGAGTGACTTGTTACAAAAGAGTCAGCCTGGCTCCTCAAGCCCCCTGCCTGACTGTCTTCACATGGGATCTCTTCCACATACTCTTGCCATGATGCTATCTTTCGTATTTTGATGTAGCCAGTAGGCCCTCATCAGAACTGAGCAGATACTGCCACTATGCTCTTGAATCTCTCTAGGACTGTGACTAAATAAATACTTTTTAATAAAGTATCCAGCCTCAGGTATTTTGTCATAGCAATATAAAATGGACTAAATAACAATGAGAATACAGTTGAGATCTTATTTATCCCCAATGTCTTGCACTGGCACGTCAAGTCAAGCAGCCAAAGCCAGGGACTCAGAATTCTTGTTCCTCTGAATACTTTCTATACCATCTGCATGGTGCCATAATCGATCAGAGCACTTTAAACAGGAGGTGTTTAAAAAAGGAAGAGGTGATTAACCTGGTTACTGTGGACAAAGAAGAAAAAAGTTTGTAAGAGTCGTGATGTTAATGACTTTCAACAGGTCTGCTGTCATGTCCCAGAGTACATATTTTTCCACATAGATATTGTTTTTGTGGGAAAATCTAGTTTTAATTGCAACTTGTCTCATTTAAGTATTTTTTAGACCTTGTAAGCTGTTTATGTTATAAATACTATATTATTCACTGCCATGTGAAATTTATATATGATACGGATGTTTTATTGTTTTTTTATATAAATATATTTTATTTAGAACCCATTTTAAGATCAATAGATGTTTTATTGTTGATCTTTATTTTTCCTATAAGGTTGAACTTGTCCCCTAAATTTTAAAGACACAATGTAGCTTTTAAGGCTTTCCTCACTTGAACCTCCACATCTGCAGGTTTCACTTCCAAAGATTCAACCAGCCATAGATGGAAAATATTCTAAAAGAAAATTTCATCTATACTGAATAGGTACAGATGTTTTCCCTTGTCACTTTCCTAAACAATGTCATGTAACAACTATTTCCATAACATTACATTGTATAAGATATTATAAATCATCTAATGATGATATAAAGTCTATGGGAGGATGTGCATAGGTTCTTTGCAAATACCCTACAATTGATATAAGGGATTTTCTCTGCTGTCATAGAACAGCTGAAGAAAGCAGGCCATGAGCAAGGCATTACAGTGTGATTTGGTATGAACACCACATCATGTAGATAGAGACAGTATCTCTTTCCTTTTGTATCTCCTTTAACATTTCATTGTAGAGCAAGAGTGGTCAACTGTAGCACTACTCACAATTGACACTGGATCATTCTTTGTGGTAGGGCTTCCTGGGCATTGTGGAATGTTTAATAGCATCCCTGGCCTCTATTCACTAGATGCTAGTAGCTTCATCTCCCTTCCTCCCACAGTTGTGACAATAAAAATAGTCTCCAGCCATTGCCAACTGTCTCCAGTTTGACGGGGATAGGGGTGATGGTGGTGCAGGGGGCAGACTCATCCTTGGTTAAGAACCACTGTTTTAGATGAATGGATTCATTAGTAAATAAAATTGTTCTAATGTAGCCAAAAGTTATTAGGATGACTAAATGAGTCAATATTATATTGTACTTTTTCTTGAGGACATTTAACACATTCTATGTATGCTTTTAAATTTCACCCTTCCCTCTTCTCTCTTCTGGCTTAAAAAGGTAAATGTGGGTGACATTGTGAAGACTTTGAATGAGGAGTTCCTTCCTGCAGACATGATCCTGATTTCTTCCAGGTTAGTTCTGTTAAAGGCATTTAAGGAACTGATATTCTGAATTGTAAATTTTAAGGAAACAAGGGCAGAGTATACTTTCTCCTACTTTATTCTTTTCACCTTCTGATAAACCAGTGGCATCCAACTTTTTCTCGAAAGGATCAGATAATAAACATGTTCAGCTTTGTGGGCCACATAGTCTCTTGAACCTCCCTTTGTAACATCAGGCAATGTTGTAACATAGGCAATGTAAACCACCAGGTCTACAATAGAACCTATTTATAAAAATAGGCAGGGGCTGGCTACGTGTAGCCTGTGCATCATATTTTCTTCACCCATGATTGATAATTTATTTACCTTTAATTTCCCTGAATATATTTTCTTCTATTCTGCTGCTTAGATTAATTTCATCCCTTCTATAATTTCTATGGACATTTGACTAAACTGAAAAAAAAAAAAGTCATGTTGACTTATTTCAGTATCATGGCAATTGTGAGGTATTCTCTTTCTAAAAGCATGCTGCCTCACAGAGAAATTAAGTTATTTACTCAGGATCACTGTGTGGGTTTGTGTTAAGCCCAAGTTTTAAAACAGTGTCTACTCCTTTTATAGAACTATACTGCTTTATTTGGCAGCTGTTTGGGAGAAAACTTTAGAAAGACACTCCTTTCTATTAGGTCCTATTTTACTAGCTCCATGTTTTCTCCTGTGGTGGATCCCTCATGTACATAGTAAGACTATGTGGTGGACTGGGTGACTGTGGGTGAGAGTAACCACAGTAATGAACACGGCCGTATTTAACACGTTTGGCAGGCTGGATCCTCAGAAGAAGTCACAATCATCTCAAAGGGGTCCAAAAAATGTTTCCAATCTTCTGAATACACATTATCTTAGAGCATGAAATTCTTGAGAAGAGAGATTAATTCTGGATCCATTCTCTAAACTTCCAGAAAACCAGTTAATTACTACACAAGCTCTTCTTTCTGTCAGTTGCACTTTGTTCTTTTGCAAACAATGCATTAACACAGTTGAGAAAGTAATTTAACTGTTACTGATGTCTGTTTCCCACTTGGATTTGTGTCAGAGAATGGGGTTGATCCAGGAGGCCACAAGAGGGTTTGTTTTTTTATTTCATCTATGTCAGTTTTTTGTTTGTTTGTTTGTTTGTTTGTTTTTGGTGAGATTTCCTTTGCTTCTTTGCTCTGGATAAATTACTGATTAATAATGAATCAATCTTTTGGGGGGAGCAGGGAAAGGCAAGACTAAAATCATTACTCCTCAACTTTTTCCTCCCTCCCTGGTACTTTTGTATGTCACATTTCCTAAATGATTCTTCTGATCCTATTAAAACAACAAAGACACACAATTGCCTAAATGTTATTTGAGGTGGCAGAAAAGTAAGAAAAATAGAGACCCAGAAAGAACTGAAATACTAAAACCCCTCAAGAGCAATCCTGTGTCAATATAGGCTTTTCCCTTAAGGATTCTGCCAGACCCTGAATACCCTGAACTACAATTTTTGTGGAGCCTAGGGAGTAAGAGAGTAAGAAACAGAATCCAGGGACTCCTCCATGAGGAGATTCTGACAGGTGATTCCCTAACTAGAAAGAGGATTTTAACATGGGTGAGCTCTAGTGAGGTCAAGTTAACTCAAGCCTTTCTGGTGGGTCTTTCTGACAGCCATCAGACTGAACAAATAATGGCTTTTTGGAAATGAGACTCTGAAAGAGCTCCAGTCTGTTTTACTCTGTCAGTACCAGGAATGTGAGTTATTATTCTTCAAGGTACCATTGAGCTAGAAATCAGGTGATGGGACTAGGGCAAGTCAAAACATCACAAAGCTCCTTTTTACTTATTTATTTTTTAGCCAAGATTTAGCAATCTTTCTTGTATAAAATATTTCTGTCTTGCTTTAAGCCTTTGGCTGCTTTTCAGAGTTCTGAAAAGGTTAATTCTGAAAAATTTTTGCCAGTTTTTAAACTGTTTGTGCAGAGGACAGGGACTTTAGAGGTTTTTACTCTGTCATATCTCTGGTATCCTTAAGGAAGCTACATTTTTAATGTTAGACTGTATTAGTAATTATTTTGGGGGTCATCAGTCACCCTTATTCATATCCAGAGGTTACATTCCAAGACATGCAATGGGTGCCTGAAACTTCAGATAGTACTGAACCCTATTTGTACTGTTATTTTTCTAACATATATACCTAAGGCAAAATTTAATTCTATAAGTTAGGCCCAGCAGAATATTAACAAATATAACTAATAATAAAATAGGGCAATAATAAAAATAAACCATAATAAAAATTATGTGAATGTAGTCTCTCTTCCAAAAGATCTTGTACATCACCTCTCATGATGATGTGGTAAGATGCAGTGCCTGCATGATGAGATGAAGTTAGGTGAGTGATGTAGGCGTTATGATATAGCATTAGGTTTTGTAAGGATTAATTGACCACAGACACAGCAATACTGTGACAGTTGATCTCATAAGCCAAATAGCTACTAATGGTTGAATAGTGTATACAGTGTGGATGTGCTGGACCAAGGGCTGATTCACATCCCACACAAGACTGAGCAGGATGGAGAAGGTGGGGCAGTGGTTTTATCATGCTTCTCAGAACAGTGACAGTTTACTTTTTGAATTGTTTATTTCTGAAATTTTTCATTTAATATCTTGGGATTCCAGGAAACTGAAACCACAGAGAGCAAACCACAGATAAGGGAGAAGCTACTGTAATGTCTTGGCTAGTTAAATCAGCACAGTTTATTTTAAACCTGATATTTGAATGAGATACAACAACAGATGATATATTCAGATTCTAAGACTTAATATTAACTTAAGTGGAACATTTTTGTTATTCTTTGTGTCTTTTCCTTCAAAATTATTAGTTTTCAAAAGTGAGTTGGCATGTGACATGGGATAAAATATGGTAAGGCAAATGTCTGTTAAAAATCTGTACATATCTGACTGGAAAATGTAACTTCATTCTAAAGGTCATCAAGCTTGAGTCTTTGGGAATTGTGATGGACTCGTTTTAGAAAATGACAGAATTTTAGATTTGACCTCAGACATGACTGTTCTGAACTATATAACATTTGTTCATCCTCAGCAATTTCTCTTTTTGAGGTTAAAGAGCAGTCACGCAAGACTGTAAGGGTAAGATCTTTTATATTGAGCCATTCTACAAGATGAATTGCAGGCTGGTGGGAGCAGTCTGCTAATATTTTCTGGAAATAGCTACTTGTAGTTCTTTCAGTGGGTAAAATTTCATAACTTTCAATTACTAGGAAAACAATTTAATGAAGAGATAATAATTCAGTAACATTTGTTTTACTTTTCCTAGTGAACCTCAGTCAATGTGTTATGTTGCAACAGCTAATTTGGATGGAGAAACAAATCTAAAGATACGGCAGGTAAAGACACTTTTTCTTAACTAATTTTATATCTGAGCCCACAATGTCAAGTTTTGCCAGTAGACGTTGTCTTTTCCACAAAGAAAACACTCTCACCACTATTGAGTGGATGTAATTTATCCACATCAGGTTATTCAAAGGATTTTTAATTATTATTAGCATTATTACTAGCTATAGTATATTAGTATTAGTCATACTATTGTTATCAGGAATCTACATGGATGTGTATTGTTTTAGGAAAAAAGCATGTGCTATGAAATTCATATGCATATTGCTTTGAACTATTTCTATTAGTACTTTGGTGATAAAACTAATGTGTGGCTAACTATGGTAAGTAGATTAAAGTAGGTTTTAAGAGCTTATATTCTTGCATACCACTCTTTTAAAAAGCATCTTCATAGAAACATGATTATGAATGTAAGGAGATGGTTTTACAATTAATTTGTTAGTCATGGGAAAAAGACATTAAATTTTAAGCCAACTCCTTCTCTGGTCTATTTGTTTAGTAAGGAAGCTGTTGGTCTTACATTTGTCTATTCACATGTTTGTGTGCTAATTTTTTGGGAAAATTTAATTAAAAATGGAAAAAATAGAAATTAAAATAATACATCATTTTTGTAAAAATAATAAAAACAATACAGAAATGTATGTAGTCTATTCAACCCTCTTCCCTGTTTAAATTCCACTTTTATTTCCAATGGTAATCATTGATAATAGTTTAGTGATACTTTCTAGATTTTAAAAGTTTCAATTATGAGCTTTTGTTTCTGGGAAGGTGGAGTTAGACATACTTTTCCTGTTAAGTACAAATAATAATATTGAGCTTTATATTGAAAACAAACCTAGAACGACTCTGAAAGGCTGGGGGAAGGTGGCGACAGAGAACAACCTGGTGGTGGGGTTCTTGGGTTTTTCTTTTACTTTATATATCTCAGGCTTGTAACTGAAGAAGAACAATGAACACAGACAACAAACAAACAAACAAACAAATCCTTAGCAAAAGCCTGCTATTTCTAGTCAAAAGACCAGGAAAGGGATAGCCTACCAAGATAGAATATTGATATCTGGACTGTAGTGAAGCAGCCCAATTCTCCCATGAGAGTGGTGTCCAAGAAGCTAAGTAGGAAGCCATGACTTTCATTCCCCTTGGTGGTAATGAGGGCCTTCCTGATTTTTAGTGGAAGTGGAGAGAGAGAGACCAAGTGGACAGCAGTAACAAGGCACTCCAACCCCTTCAAGTCAGGGAGGTGACAGAGAAGGTATGGATGAGCCTTGACTGGCTATAATGGAAAGGCCCTATCAACAGAGGCCAGTACTTTCTCTTCCACTTTGCAATATTGAGGCTGTACCTGTTTCATGTGCTGGAGTAGTGTCAGGCAAAGATAACCAAAACAGGTTTAAGTAAGTTCCAGAGTTCTATTATATCATATCCTAAATTTCCAGGTTATTATTTTTAAAAATCACCATTATACCTCAAACGAGAAAGTTCTGAAACTGAATAGGAAAAAAAGATGCCAATATCAAGACAGTGGATGTATTAAAATTATCTGATAGAGAGTTTAAATCATCCATCAAAAAAAGTTTTAATGAGTGACTACAAACATGCTTGAAACAAATAAAAACATAAAAACTCTCCAGCTAAGAAACAAATTCCCAGCAAAGAAATAGAAGGTTTAAAGGACCAAATGGAAATCTTAGAAATTAGAGATACAATAACTAAAATTAAAAACAAACCGTAAGAGATGGGCTTAACAGCAGAATGGAAGGAATAGAAGAAAGAATCAGTAAACTGTAAGATAAAACAATAGAAATTACCCAATTTGAACATCAGAGAAAAAATACACTGTATAAATTAAGCATGGCTTCAGGGACTTCTGGGAATTTAATTAAATAGCTAACTCTTATGTCACCAGAGCCTTGGAAGGAGGAGGAAAAAAATAATGGGCAGAAAATTTTGCCAAAAATTTTGCCCAAAGATACAAACTACAGATTAAATAAGCTTACTGAACCAAAAAAGGCCCAAATGAATCTATATCAAAACACATTCTAGTCAAACTTCTGAAAACAAAGAAAAATCTTGAAAGTAGTGAGGGAAAAATGACACTTTACCTCTGCAAGAAAGAGAGTTTGATTAACAGCAGGTTTCTCACTAGAAAACCATCGAGACTGGAAGACAGTGGCACACATTTTTCAAGGCTTAAAGAGAAATGTCATCCCAGAATTATAGCCAGCAGAAGTATCTTTAAAGAATGGGGGAAGAGACTGGAGGGAAGTTAAAACCTTTTCAAATGAAGTCAAACTAAGATCTCTTTTAAAATAATGGTTAAAGAAAGGTTTCAATTTAAAAACAATTTAAAGGAAGGTAAACAATTTAAAAAGTAATGTAAGTATGGAATAAAGAAGAAAGAAAATGGCAAGTAAAAATAAGGTTAAATGTAATAGGATTTATTTTTCTTGACTTTTTGAAATTGTTTGATAAATGAATGAAAAATTTTAAAACTGATGTTCTAAATATATTTATGATATGTACCATACTGGAATAAACTAAAAGGTTGTGAAAGGAAGCAAAACTTCTATGTTTTATTCATACTTGTAAAATTATGATACAAATAGACTTTGAGAAGTTATCTGTAAATTATGTAATACTTAAAAAAATCACTAAAAGAGCTGTATGAAAAGATACACTAAAAATTCTATTTAAAAATCAAAATGGAATTCTAAAAACATTCAAGTAACACATAGGAAGTAAAGAAAACTACAAAAGTAAAAAATGGAGGAAACAAAAAATCAATAAGTATATTAAGTGTAAATCATCTAATTAACCAATTAATCAACTAATTAATCTAATTAAAAGACACAGGCTGGCATAGTGGATAATGGTATGTTGTCTATGAGAAATCACTTTAAATATAATGAAATAGGTAGTTTAAGAGCAAAATAATGGAAAAAATATATAAAGCAAAATTGATAGAAGTCAGGAATGACTATATTCATATCAGATAAGGTAGTTTTTCTGATAAAAGAAAATTACCAGAGAAGCTCATTATATAATGATAAATTGATTATCCCACAAATAATACATATGATTCTAATTTTTATACATGAAAAATACAAAGTTGTGGGCTGTGGTTGTGGCTTAGCAATAGAGCACTCGCCTAGCATATATGAGGCACATAAAAATAAACAAATAAAATAAAGGTTTGTGTCTAATTACAACTAAAAAAATTTTAAAAAATATAAAGTTGCAAAATGTGTGAGGCTAAACATTAATAAAAATTAAGATAATTATATAAGTCCACAATTGTAGATTTCAATAACTCTCTTTCTCATCAACTGACAGAAAAAAAGAGAATCCTTGATTATATACAAGAACTCAACACCACAAAGTAAAAGATATACTGATTATTATGAAACAGTCACTAACAGAGTGTTTTAGAAATACACCCAACAACAGAAGGATATACATTATTTTCAGGTGGCCAAGAAACACCAAAATAGACAATATTTGAGTCATAAATATAATAAGACAAAAATAATTAAAATCATACAGACTGTGTTTTCCAAACACAATGAGTCCAATTAAAAATCAGTAACAGAATAATAACAGGAAAATCTACAAATGCTTGAATTATAAAGATCTCATTTCAATAAATACCAAAGTCAATAAATGTAATTCATTGCATAAATATAATCAAGGACAAAAAAAATCACTTGATCATCTCAATAGATGTAGAAGATCTTTGGTAACATTCAAGACCCATTCATGTTATTAAAAAGCCACTGAAGAAACTAGGGAGGGAAGGAATATATCTCAACGTCATAAAGGCTATACATGACAAACCCAAAGTCAACATCATACTGAAATTATTTCCTTTAAAATCAGGAATTAAAAAAAAGGATGTCCACTCTCAGTTCAATGTAGTTCTTGAAATTCTAGCTAGAGAAGAGAAGGAAATTAAAAAGACACAAACAGAAAAGAAGAAGTCAAACTATTTCTTTTTGTTAATGACATGATTCTATAACATAAGGACTCAAAAAAAAAAGATTTCAAGATCTGAGAAATAAGTCAACAAAGTAGCACAATACAAGATCAATATACAAAATTAAATAGCTTTCTTCTACTCCAATAATAAATCTTCCAAACTCATTTGAAGTAACCTAAAAAAAAAAAAAAGAAAGAAAAGCAAAAAAGTTTAGGAATAAGTCTAACCGAGGTAAAAGAACTCTACAATGAAAACTATAGAACACTGAAGAAAAATAGATCTTAGAAGATGGAAAGACCTATCGTGTTCACATGTTCATGAATTGGTATTAACAAAAGCAATCTACAGATTTAATGCAATCTCCATCAAAATACCAATGATATTCTTCACAGAACTAGAAAAAATTCTAAAATTTATATGGAAAAATAAAAGACCCAGAATAATCAAAACAATCCTGTGTAACAAAAGTGAGACTGAAGGCATCAGAATACCTGATCTCACATTATACTACAGAGCCATGGTAACCAAAACAGCATGGTATTGGTATCAAAACAGACATGAAGACCAATGGAATAGAATAGAAGACACAGAGACAAATCCACTTAGAAACTGTCATCTAATACTTGACAAAGGTGCTGAAAGCATATGTTAGAAAAAAGATAATCTTTTTAAGAAATGGTGCCAGGAAAACTGGATGGATATCCACATGTAGGAGAATGAAACTAGATTCCCACCTCTCACCCTGTTCAAAAATCAATTCAAAGTGGATCCAAGACCTAGGAATTAGGCCAGAAACAGTGAAATTCCTAGAAGAAAACACACACAGAGTCAGCACTCCCCATACTGGCACAGGAACCAACTTCTTATTTATTTTAGTTTTTATTTGTTCTTTTTAGATATTCACGAGAGTAGAGCGTATTTTGACAAACTATACATATATGGAGTATAACTTCTCATTCTGTGGTTGTAAGGGGCTGACTTCTTTAATAAGATGCCTAAAACTCAATGAACAAACAAAAAACTCAATAAGTGGGATAGCATGAAGTTAAAAAACTTCTGAACAGTCAAGAAAACAGAAGTGTGAAGAGAGATCCTACAGAATGGGACCACAATCTTTGCCAGCTACTCCTTTGACAGGGGACTAACAACTGGGATACAAGTAGATATAAGGAGATCTATATCTATCTATTTATATCTCGAAGTTGGACATGATGGCACACGCTGTAATCCCAGTGACTCAGGAGACTGAAGCAGGAAAAATCACAAGTTCAAGGCCAGCTTCAGTAAATTAGCAGGACTCTAAGAACTTAGTGAGAATCTATCTCAAAATAACAAAATAAATAAAAAATAAATCCTATGGACTGGGGGTGGGTACTTAAAAAACTTAGCTCCAAAAAACAAAACAAACAAAACAAAAACCACCACACCACCAATTAATGAGCAAAAAATTTTAAGGAGATATTTTCAAAAGAAGAAACACAAATGACCAACATTTCCTGCCCACATCCTGCATAGGTGATGGGAATGGAGTTCCTCTTGGTGGAATGGGCTGCCTGCAGAATAAAAGCTAAGAAAGGTAGGGCAGTGGAAAAAACCAATGGACACAGAAAGTAATTTTAAAAGCAGGACGGGCCAGCTGATATCTTACAGATTGCTCTTGCACACTAAAAAGAGCAAAATGGAGCTTGCGCTTCCTTTATTTATATCTGGGGAACATCAAAGGTTTTTCATGAAGTGTTCTTTGCCAAATAAGGTAGGAGGTGGGCTTTGAATATGTACTCTCGTGAATATCTAGAAAGAACAAATAAAAAATAAAATAAATAAGAAGTTGTTTCCTGTGCCAGTATGGGGAGTGTTGACTATGTGTTTTCTTCTAGGAATTTCACTGTTTCTGGTCTAATTCCTAGGTCTTGGATCCACTTTGAATTGATTTTTGAACAGGGTGAGAGGTGGGAATCTAGTTATGCCCAACTCTGGAGCTATGAGATTGGTCTTCCTAGTAGAATGGAGATAGAGGTCATGTGCCTTGGGCAACAATCCATTGCACACGGGCGAGAAGCCCGGATAGTTCCCAAGGAAGAACCCAAATCTCCATGGCTCCATAAGAAGTGAAGACCCTCAAGTAATTCACAGATGCCTAGGCAAGTTCAGCTTCCTTAGCAATCAGGGGGATGCAAATCAAAACTATACTAAGATTTCATTTTACCCCAGTTAGAATAGCAATCATCAAAAATATGAATGATGATAATTGCTGGTGAAATGTGGGGGGAAAATATACTCTTATACATTGTTGGTGGATCTGCAAATTAGTACAACCACTTTGGAAAGCAGATTCCTAAAACAAAACAAAACAAAAAGCCATATGACCTAGCTATCTCACTCTTTAGTATTTATCTGAAAGAATTAAAATCAGCATACTATAGTGATACAATCACTTCTACATTTATGGCAGTACAAGCCACAATAATGAAGTTATGAAACCAGCCCAGATGCCCATTGATGGATGAATGGATAAAGAAAATGTAGAAATATACACAATAGAGTTTTATTTATTTAAAAAGAAAAATGAAATTGTGGCATTTGCTGGTAAATAGATAGAAGTGGAAAATATTATGCTAAGTGAAATATCAGTCCCAAAAAGCCAAGGGTTGAATATTTTTTCTTAGATGTGGAAACTAGAGAGGAAAGAGGAATAAAAGGAGTTTTCATGAAAATCGAAGGAAGATCAGTAGAGTAGGAGTGATAACCAAGGCAAAGGACAGAAGGGAAGGAAAAAAGGACGAACTGGGGAAGGAAGCTGACCAAATTATCCTATATGATTGTATGAATATATCCCAGTGCATTCCAATATTTTATAAAACTATAATGCACCAATTTAAAAAATAAATAGAAGGAAAACAAATAAAGTAGAAGGAGATCAGGGGAAATGAAGGGGGGGGGAAGAAAGAAGGTTTACGGGGGATTGAAAGAGCAAACAATGCCATATGCATTTATAAATATATCAGATATGAACTCTATTGTTTTTTATAACTATAATGCCATAATAAATTTTTAAAAATTGTTTAAAAATCCAAGCATGTATATTTTAAAGAAATTAAGAGAATGATATGTGTTAAGAGAAATTAAATATATATGTGTTAAGAGATAAGAATCTATGTGTTTGGTGCTGGAAAAACTGGATATCCATATATATATATATATATAGGAATGACCTATCAACCTACACAAAAGTCCAATCAAAGTGAATCAAAGACTTAGAAATTAGATGGGAAAGTTTGCAAATGCTAGAAGAAAATATAGGGCCAACACTCCATCATATAGGTGCAGGCACTGACCTAAATTCAAGAAATAAAATCAAGATAGATAAGTGGGATGGCATCAAGTTTAAAAGTTTCTGTGCAGCAAAGGAAAAAATTAAGAGCATGAAGGGAGAGCTTACAGAATGGAAGAAAATCTCTGCCAGCTTCTCCTCTGACAAGGTATTAATATGCAGACTATATAAATAATTCAAAAAACTTAATACCCCGAAAACAAAACAAACAGTCCAATTAATAAGTAGGCAAAAGAACTAAAATTACATTCCTCAAAAGAAGAAATTCAAATGTCCAACAAATATACAAAAAAATTGAACATTTTTAGCAAAGAGAAATGAAAATTAAAACTACACAAAGATTTCATCCCACTTTATTCAGAATGGCAATTATCAAGAATACAAATAAAAATAAGTACTAGAGAGGATGAGAGAGGAAAGATACACTCATACACTCTTGGTGAGGCTGCAAAAATTAGTACAACCACTCTGGAAAGTTGTATGGTGATTCCTTAAAAGACTAAGAATGGAACTATCATATGACGCAGCTATCCCACTCCTTGGCTTTTATCCAAAAGAACTGAAATCAGCAGATAATAGTGACAAGTCACTTCAGTGTTTACAGCAGCACAATCACAACAGCCAAGTCATGAAAACAGGCCAGATGCCTATTAATATATGGATGAATAAAGAAAATGGGTATATATACACAATGAGTTTTACTTATCCACAAAGAATAATGAAATTGTATCATGCTAAGTGAAATAAGACAGACTCAAAAATTCCATTCTCACATGTAAAAGCTAGAGAAAAATAAGAGAAAGAGGGTATCTTTATTAGATATCATAAAGATATAGGGAAGATCAGTGGAGTATAAGAAGGAAATTAAGAGGGAGAGAGGAAGGAAGGGAAAGGGGAGAAAAAATGGAATGAATTCAACAAAATCACATATGTACATATATAAATATATCACAGGGGAATTTCATTTTTATGTGCATGTAGAAAGCACCAATAATAAATAAATAAATAAGTAAAAGGCAGATCCATAGAGTAGAGAGGAAGGAGAATAGAGAAAGGGATGAGAGGAGGAATAGGGGAAGGGAATCAGTCCTGAAATGGAGTAAATCAAACTCCATGTATATATGATTTTGTCAAAATGAACCCCAATACTATGTGTAACTATAATGCTCTAATAAAAAGACTATATATATGTTAAGAGAAATCAAGAGAATACATACATATACATTTTTTCTTTAAAACAAAAACAAGCTACAGACTTGGAAAAAATATTTGCAAACCACATATCTGACAAATTATTGTTATCTATAATATGTAAATAATCTCAAAATTGAACAAAAATCAAAGCACATAGAAACTAGGTGAAAGACATGAGGAGACATTTAACTAAACAGGATATACAAATGGCAAGTAAGTAAGTCCATGAAAATATTTTCTATAACATTAGCTAGTCTTTAAGAAAATACAATTAAAACAACAGTGAAACAGTGAAATACCCATCAGAACAACCAAAATAAAAAAATAGTTGTGATGTTAAACACTGGTGAGGATGCATAAAACTATACCATTCATTCATTGCTGGTGGGGAATATACAATGGTACAGCTACTTTGGGAAACAATTTCTAAGTTTGATATGGAGTTAGAAATGTACCTAGCATATGACTCAGCAATTGTACTCCTAGGGATTTATCCCAGGGAAATGAAAGCTCACATCCACAAAAAAAGCTATGTACAAATATTTATAGCAGTTTTATCTGCAATAGCCACATGTTCACTTATATATGAGCGGTTAAACTAATTGTGACACATTGATACTTATTTTTGCATATTGATCTTACCATCAACTTATTAAACTCTCATATTTTTATGATCTTAAAATATAATGTGTGTAGGCTTTTCTAATAGTCAATTATTTTTCTAAAAGTAGGATGATCATTTTTTCATCAGTTTTACATATTTACACAGTAGAAAGGAGAGTATTAGAATAGAGTTTGAGGTTTTAATGCTTTCTAGAAATTTAACATAAAATTTACCACCTTGTAAATTCTATTACTACTTCCTTTTTTTAAAAAAAATTTGGAGTCATTTTTGACATTTCCTTTCCAATAAAAATTCCTCATCACTTTCTCCCCCATTTCATTTCATTGCCTAAAAGTCCAGACAATTAAAAATAAATTTCATGTTAATACTGGTGACTTCTTATTTCTTCTAATAAAATTCTATCATTTCATAGTCATGCATGATAGTTGCTTGACTAATTTGGTTGGGTATTTTAACATTCTTAGTTACTTGACTTTCATCATCATCTTTTACTAACTATTGGAGACTTGAAGCTTTGCCAGTATATCAAACTTATATTTTTATTTTTCTCATTCTGTTTTTTAAAAATAGGCATCATTAGAAGTTGCTGGAATAATAAAGGAAGGACAATTGGTAAACCTAGATGGAAAAATTGAATGTGAAGAACCTGATCGTCAGTTTAATAACTTTGTTGGAACCTTGTATTTAAGGGGTAAAAGGTATCATTTTTCTCTTCTCAAGTATATTTTCTCCCTCTTCTGGAGCACAGTTAGTTGCAGTTTCTGTTCTGTCCACTAATAACATTTGAAAGCATTATAATTATTTACATTTTCCTTGACTTTGAAATACCCTGAAGCTCCTGTGAAAACATTGAAAATAAGGAAACGATTCAGCATTATCTTAATCAGGATACCTGTGTTAGTCAACTTCATGTTACTGTAATAAAATACCTGAAACAATTAACTTGTAAAAAAGAAAAAGTTTATTATGGCTCATAGTTCTAGCCCAAGATTGGGTAGACTTTTGGTCTCTGGCAAGGGTGGCATATCATGGAGGGAGTGAATGGCAGAGAAAATTGCTTATGTCATGAGCCAGGAAACAGAGAACCAAGTTAGGAAGAGTTAAGTTTCCACTATTGCTTCCATAAACCTCCAGTGACTTAAAGACTTTCCACCAACCCCCACTTTCTATAGGTTCCAACATCTCCCAATAGCACCACCCTGAGGATCAAGGCTTTAACACGTGGTCATTTGGGGAACATTATTCATATTTAAACAATAGCAACCAATAAATGCTATGGATAGAGAAATCAACTCCAAGTTACCTTTGACTATAAGCACTGAGCATTATCACATGAAGTAAATCAGTGAGAAGAACATGGTTTTGAAAGTGACCAAGCCAAATGGACTTGGTTTGATCATAACAGAGAGGTCTTCTTTACTGTTGCTCCAGTCCTATGCACTTTGTAGACTTTTTAGGAACATATTGTATATGGTGGGTCAGTCTAGTGCTGGAGGTAAGGAGGACAAGTAAATATACCAGGATGAACCTGTTTTCTGTGCTCTGAATTACCCCATGCAATCCCTTCTATAGATTACTTAATTGATACACAGGCATTGGTCTACAAAACGTTCTCGGACAATTTTTTTTAAAGCTGTGATTTTTTTTTATTATTTCTTACATGACAATAGTGGAGTACATTAAATTCATAATTTTTTTGCATTACAATTCTTAATACACCTTTATACCACAATTTATCAAATCTCTGCTTGTATATATGATATGTTGACATCAAATTCACATCTTCATACATGAATTTTGTATAAAGATGATGGTCTCTTTCCAGTATCCCCTTCTCCCTCCCTTTCCTTCCCACCCCTATTCCCTATCTAGAGGTAATTTTCACCCATGCTTTCCCTCCCTACCCCACTTTGAGTCGCGCCCCTCCTCCATTATATCAGAGAAAACATTCAGCATTTTTTAGGGATTGGCTAACTTCACTTAGCATAATCTTCTCTAATGCCATTCATTTTCCTGCAAATGCCATGATCTTATTCATTTTTAGTGCAGAGTAATATTCCATTGTGTATAAATGCCACATTTTTTTTTTATCCATTCATCCACTGAAGGACATCTAGGTTGGCTTCACAGTTTAGCTATTGTGAATTGTGCTGCTATAAACATTGATGTGGCTGTGTCTCTGTAGTATGCTGTTTTTTGGTCCCTTGGGTATAGTGCAAGAAGAGGAATAGCTGGGTCAAATGGTGGTTCCATTCCCAGCTTATCAAGGAATCTCCATACTGCTTTCCAAATTGGTTGCACTAATTTGCAGTCCCACCAACAATGTATGAGTGTACCTTTTTTCCCCACATCCTTGCCAATACCTGTTGTTGTTTGTCTTCATAATGGCTGCCATTCTTACTTGGGTGAGATGATGTATTAGAGTAGTTTTGATTTGCATTTCTCTGATTGCTAGAGATGATGAGTATTTTTTCGTGTATTTGTTGACTGATTGTATATCCTCCTCTGAGAAGTGTCTGTTCAGGTCTCAGGCCCCATTTGTTGATTGGATTATTTGCTTTTTTTGGTGCTTGTTGAGCTCTTTATATA